TCATCAAACTGGCCTGGCCTAAATCTTCTCCCCTTTTTAAATGTAAATTTTAATTTGTTTTTAAATTATGGGGTATTTTAAATTTGTTCAGCCAAATTATTTAATTCATTTTTATTCTATTTTAAATTTTTGTATTTATGTGTTTTATCCTGTGGCTGTTCACCGCCCTGAGTCCTTCGGGAGTAGGGAGGTATAGAAATTTAATAAAATAAAAAATAAAATAAAATGAAATACACATGAGTAGAGGAAGAACCTAGCATAAGGACTTGAAATGTCAACAAAGGTGTTATTCTTAAGCAAACTTTGGAAGCCACGTAGCAAGAAAAAAGATTTAAAATGATAAAAACCACATAATTTTCAAATACATTGAAAGGGAGAAAATCTAGAAGCAAGCTTTATTGCAAATGAAAGGAAGAAAATCTAGAAGCAAACTTTATTGTAAATGTAAATATAAATGCAAACATGTGATAAAGTTAAAATTTAAAGTAGAAAAAGGGTAAGATTTAGATAATAATACGTCTGATATTTTCCAGATCATCAATGTCATATTTTATTTCTTGGATTATTTATACAGCAAGGTTTCCTTTTTTTTTTTCCTATTTCCTGTAATTACTTAAATCAATTTGACATGATTTTATTCCATAGATCTTCAATTAATTATAATTATAAGTAAAAATATTAACAAAACTGGCCTTCCTTCATGGTTTTCTGTTCTTCTCAACTGCCTTCTAATCCTTGAATACTCTCTATGAGATTGGTTTGGTTCTTTTTTTCATCTCTTTTCTCTGGCTAAAAAAAATAAGCCACTTGATTGATATTTCTCTTAAAAGAGGTATATCTATACAATACAGATGAATAAAAGACTGAATTGAAGGAGAATTTACTTGTGCTACTTGTATAACTGATATAAAATCTACTATGCATAATTTAAAATATAAACAAATGTTAATGGACCTCAACTTTTAAAACTGTTCAAGCTTTCAAATAACTTTCAATTCAATCAACAACTTAATTTCAACACTGGAGGTTACTAAGATACTAATGGAAATTACCAGGGGTGAAATGCTCCCGGTTCGGACCGGATCGCCTGATCCGGTAGCGATGGAGGCGGGTGGTTCGGAGAACCAGTAGCAAAAATCCCTGCCCCCTCCCATGCCCAGCTGAGTCGCACAATCATCAGAGGCTTTTTTTTTTTTTACTTTTAAAAGCATTTTTCTACAACCTCTTCAGCGGAAAAAATGCTGTTAAAAGTAAAAAAAAGAAAAAGCCTCTGATGATCGCGTGGCTCAGCTGGGATCATCAAAGGCTTTTAAAAGAAAAAAACCCTGTTTTTAAAAATGCCTCTGACGATCCAAGCTGAGTTTACAAGAAAAAAAGCCTCTGACGATCAGGCAACTCAGCTGGGATCATCAGAGCCTTTTGAAAGCATTTTTTTACAACCTCTTCACCGAAGAGGTTATAGAAAAAATGGTTTTAAAAGTAAAAAAAAAAGAAATTGGCCATGCCCACCCAGTCACATTACACCCCCCCCCCACCAAGCCACGCCCACAGAACCAGTAGTAATAGAGTTTAGATTTCACCACTGGAAATTACTAAGTTGATTATAGCAGCTAATTGAATCTCTCTCTCTCTCTTTTTAAAAAGTTTTTATTAATAGTTCAAAATTAAAAACATTGGACATAGATATGACATCACTGGTCCCAAGCATCTTCCAACACCTTAAACTAATACATAATATACTAATGATAATATAATAATATATTCCTTACACCTTATACATTATTTAAACATAGTATAATAATAGTAATTTATACCTTATTCCTATACAATTATACATATCTATACCTACATATACCTATCTATACAATTCACATACATATTTATCTATAATAACGTATAAAATTCTAGCCTAATACTACACATTTGTCTCGGCTATCCTCCTTTTATCTAACCATTCATAGAATTTTGCCCAGATTTTATAGTACAATGTTTCACTTTTATCCTTGAGTTCCAAAGTGAGTCTATCCATTTCTGCGCAGTTGAAAATTTTTAGTAGTATTTCCTCTTCAGCTGGGGTATCTTTCTCTTTCCACTTCTGCACAAAGGCTATCTCTGCCGCTGTAAGTATATGCAGTAGTAGATAATTTATGTCTTTCTTGTATTTGCCCTCTGTCATTCCCAAAAGGAAAAGTTCCAGTTTGACTTCTATGTTTATTAACAAAATTTCTTCCAACCAAATCTTTATCAGATTCCAATATAAATTTGCCTTTGGGCATTCCCACCATATATGATAGAAGTTCCCTGGAGCCACCTTGCACTTCAACATGCCGAAGAATTTCCCTTATTGATTCGTGCTAATCTTGTGGGGGGGAGGTGCCACCTATAAAACATCTTATATAAATTTTCCTTATATGAAGTTGCTAATGTAATTTTTATTTTTTTTCCCCAGAGAGTCTGCCAATTGTCCAAATCAATACTGTGCCCAAAACATTTACTCCAAAGTATCATTGTTTCTTTGACTTGTTCCTCAATTGTGTCTTGTTCCAATAAATAGCAATATAATTTACTTTTGGTCTTACCCTCCCTACTTAATAAAATCTTATCTAATTGTGATAACTCTTGCTTTATACCCCATTCCTTTTTGTCTTTGCTAAATTTAGATTATATTTGGAGGTATGCCCACCATTCCAATTCAATTCCTTCTTCCTTTAAAATGTTTCTTGTTTTCAATTCTCCTCTTTCATTCAGAATATCTTTATAGGTGACAACCCCCTTTAATTTAGTAAAATTTGGATGAGTATACATTTCCAAAGTTGACACCCAGTTGGGAATTTCCATATAATTACTTCTTTTTGTCTTAATCCAGATATTTAATACATCCCTACTGATATAATTCCTCTGGAAGTACTGATGGACTTCATGCTTTTCCTCCCATAAAATAGCATGCCATCCTGTCTGTAAATTGTGGCCTTCTAACGCCAATAGTTTTGTATTTTTGAGATGCATCCACTCACTTATCCATACCAAAGCTACTGCCTAATAATATTTTCCTGAATCTGGCAAACCGAATCCCTCTCTTTCTCTAGCATTTTATAATAACTTTAATCTAATTTTCGTTTTTTTCCTTGCCAGACAAATTTTGAAATATGTCTATCCAAATTAGTAAAAAAATCTTTTTTGAGCCAAACTGGTATGCACTGGAATAGAAACAACATTTTCGGTAGGACATTCATCTTAATGGTAGCTATCCTGCCCATTAAAGACAGCTGTAATTTTCCCCATTTTTCCAAATCAGACCTAATTTCTGCCATTAATTTATCATAATTATCTTCTTTGAGTGTGATGCATCTTGCAGTCAATTGAATTCCTAAATATCTAAGTTTTTTTCGTAGTCTGAATATTTATCTTTCCTCCAATTCTTTTTTTGCTCTTCAGTCTTATTTTTGACTATCATTTTCATTTTTCCTTATTTATTTTAGGCCCACTACTTCCCCATATTCCTCCAGTACTTCCATCAGCCTAACATCGGATTGTATAGGCTCTTCGATAATAAAGACAAGATCGTCTGCAAATGCCTGTACTTTAAAATTTTCTTTTCTTATTTTGAAATCTTTGATCTGTACATATTCTTGAATTGTTCTAATTAAAGTCCCTAATGATAAAATAAACAATAATGGTGATAGTGGACAACCTTCTCTTGTCCCTTTTTGGATTGGAAAATTCTTCGTCGTTTCCCCATTGATTACCACTTTGGCCTCCTGTCTAAAATAAATTGCTTTATACATCCTTATAAATTTCCCCCAAAAATCCATGTAATTTAATTGTTCTAATATAAAGTCCCATTATCGAAGGCTTTTTGCGCATCGATAAATATCAATGCCATCTGTTTTTCATTATGGATTTCATAATATTCTATGGTATCTAAAATAGTCCTAATGTTGTTCCTTATATGCCTTCTGGGCAGGAAGCCATTTTGGTCAGAATGAATAAAATTCTCTAGAAATTTCTTTAATCTGTCTGCCATGATTGTCATAAAAATTTTGTAATCCGAATTCAGTAAAGATATCGGTCTATAATTTTTAATATAAGTCAAATCAGAATTTTCCTTAGGGATCAATGTAATTATTGCTTCTTTTCACGATGCTGGTATCCTGGCTTCATTCAAAACATCATTATATACCTCTAGTAACAATGGACTTAGTATCTCCTGGTGATTTTTATAGATTTCTGACGGCAAATCATCAGGACCTGGTGCTTTATTACTTTTTTGTTTTTTTAATTGCCTCAAATATCTCAAATGCTGTTATCTCATTATTTAATAAATCTTTACATTCCACCGAGATTTTTGGCAGTCCTATTTTTTTGCAGATATTGCAATATCTTGCCTTCCTCTATCTTTTCTTTATCCTCATACAAATTTTTAAAGAACTCATAGGCCCTTATTTTGACATATTAATTCTAATTGAATCTCAAATTCTATAATTTGGTGATAATGCTTGGACGATATACAACAGAGCATAACATTTAAAATGATGATAAAGGCTATAGTTTTTAAACATTTCATCCGGTATCAACTTACAATTATTGCTACGAAAACTCTTATTATGAAAAAACAACAACAAATGGAATGATACAAACGTTTCGCTAGCTGGGAAAGATTGAGGGCAAAAGAAGAAGGGGATGACAGAGAATGAGGTGGCTGAATGGGGTCACTGAAGCAATCGGTGTGAGCTTAAATGGACTCCAGAGGATGGTAGAGGACAGGAAGGCCTGGAGGAACATTGTCCATGGGGTCGCGATAGGTCGGACACAACTTCGCAACTAACAACAAAAAGCTTTAAAAACTACGAATACAGCAATGTTTACTCTTTTTGTGGTTTCGAGTTTTGTAGTTTCCTCTTGCAAAGCACGTCAGTGTTACACATCCTCACTGAAAACACACATTATATACCAAACTAAACAACAATATAAAATATTGGATAGACAGTGTCAGAGACACTTCACACCTTGTCTTCCTTCAGACTTTCCTGGTCTACTTCCCTGTCCTGCTCATCCTTGAAAACTCTTTGCAGAGCAACCTTGAAAGAGGTTCTGGGCTGCTCCCTTTCCCTCTTCTTCCTCCCAACTAAGAAATAAAGAAGAGGGTTGATGCTGCTGTTGAGAGAGGCACATCCGAATCCAATGGTCATGAGAATGTTACGAGGTGGATCCAAATATTCAACGACATAAAAGGCGTTTATTGGGAGAGAAAGGAGGAGGAAGCAAAGGAGAGCTAGCAAGGTGGCGGTGAGCAGCTTCCTTTGATTGTGTTGCAATTTAGACCTCATATGAATCAAAAGGGTCACAGTAGAGACAATCATAACGGGTGTACAAAGTAAACCATTCACAATAAGCTGGAAAAGCAAAGGCGAGCTGCTGATCTGGTAGAGAATGAAGTGCACCATAGAGAGCAGGAAGGAGAGGATCCAGATGATGATGCAAACGAGTTTGGAGAAATATGGAGGACGATGGCAGCGATGCCATAGTGGGAAGAGAGCAGCTGCACATCTGTCCAGGCTGATGGCCGTCAGCAGAAACTGGCTAGCAGAATAAGTGAAGAACAAGAGCTCAAAAACCAAGAATTGAATGGTTTTGACAAGGTGAGTTCCGTGACCAAGAAGTGACACCACTACAAATATAGCTGCAATAATGAGGAATGTGAGGACGCCAAAATCAGCAATGGAGAGATTCAGGATGAAAGTGGTGAAAGAATTCCTCTTAATGGATTTAGTCAGAATATAAATTGTCCTTCCATTTCCAATCAGGCCCAAAACACAGATAATGGCAATGAATCCATTGATAAGATTTCGTGTTAGATTATCCAATCGTACATCATATGGAGAAGTAGAAACATTGTTATAGGCGCCACGAAATGAATGTTGAAAAAATTTAATACCTAAATGATTACCAAAACTTAACGGTTCAGGGTTTGATCTGTTGACAGAAAGAGAACAAAATGAAACCAATCCTTATTACAGAAATAGACATATTTCTTTAAAAAAAATTTTTTTTTTTTTTGCAAAGATTGGTGGACAAATTTCTCTTTTGACAATTAAAAGGTAATGTCGGTCATGCCAATTCTCTGTTCTTGTGTGGCAGGAGAATAGCTGCAGTCAATACAAACCCAAGCTTTTTATCCATAAGTCTTCTAGATGCTTTTCATGATAACCCCCAACAATCCTCATTGCTGACTACTCTGACTGATGCCAAATGGAAGGCAGAGTTCCATGCTTTGGAGAACACCAGATCCCTGATGCCATGAGTTTGTACCAGAGGTGGAATTCAGCAGGTTCTGAACAGTCCTGGAGAACCGGTAGCGGAAATTTTGAGTAGTTCGGAGAACCGGTAAATACCACCTCTGACTGGCCCCACCCCCAGCTATTCTCTGCCTCCCGAGTCCCAGCTGATTGGGAGGAAATAGTGATTTTGCACTAATCTTCCCCTGGAGTGGGGTGGGAATGGAGATCTTACAGTATCCTTCCCCTGCCACACCCATCAAGCCATGCCCACCAAGCCATGCTACGCCCACCAAGCCACACCCACAGAACCAGTAGTAAAAAAATTTGAATCCCATCACTGGTTTGTACCCAAAGTCATCAAAACCTAACACACTGGGAAACAAATGTCGCAGTTTAAATGGCATTTTGCTTTCAAATGGAAATGAAATGACCAGAAGAGACAGCAATTCCTTCTGACATCCTCTCCAACTGCATTGATAGATTCAGGGCTTAAGCGAATTATGACACAGCATACAAACCGTATAGTTTCGTCATCCTGAGGAATTCCTGATTTGAAGTGGGAGTCGTCATCCATCCTCATAAGGTCTAAGGAAAGTAGGGATGGGAAGGAAATAATGGCAGCAAATGTTATTTAAGCAGCTAAAGAGCCAATTTTCTAACACCATGTTAAACTTGATTAAAGCTAAGTTAAAAGTATAATCGGCAAGTGAATAAGCCCACATAATATATTAGTTTTTTTGACTGCCCAGGAGAGAAGTCACACTGGAGGTCCCGTTTCAATGTCTAGATGTTGATGGAGTCTGGATGGGGAGGAATTAAATCAGTCTCAATGCCAACAAGACCTAAGGCTTGTTTATAGAATGACAGTAATTTCCCAAAAATTAGTTCTGAAATGGGTTACACTATCTCAGTCAGAGCTTATGTTTAATTTGTGCTGGTCCAAGATTCTTGGCTCTTCATGAAAGATATGCAGATAATATGATGATTACTGAAAAGGATCTGCAAATCCTAGTATTAGTATCAAACTAGCTACTAAGTCTGCATTACTATTAATCTTCTCATCGTTACTATCACCTATCTCCTCCCACTTATGACTGTAACCTTATTGCTGGTATCCTTACGATTTATATTGACTGTTTCATAATATGATTTGATTGCTTATTTGTACCCTATGACTATCATTAAGTGTTGTAGCTTACGATTCTTGATGAATGCATCTTTTCTTTTATGTACACCGAGAGCATATGCACCAAGACAAATTCCTTGTGTGTCCAATCACACTTAGCCAATAAAGAATTCTATTCTATTCTATTCTATTCTATTCTATTCTATTCTATTCTATTCTATTCTATTCTATTCTATTCTATTCTATTCTATTCCATTCCATTCCATTCCATTCCTTTCCTTTCCTTTCCTTTCCTTTCCTTTCCTTTCCTTTCCTTTCCTTTCCTTTCCTTTCCTTTCCTTTCCTTTCCATTCCTTTCCATTCCATTCCATTCCATTCCTTTCCTTTCCATTCCTTTCCTTTCCTTTCCATTCCATTCCTTTCCATTCCATTCCATTCCATTCCATTCCTTTCCTTTCCTTTCCTTTCCTTTCCTTTCCATTCCATTCCATTCCATTCCATTCCATTCCATTCCTTTCCTTTCCTTTCCTTTCCTTTCCATTCCATTCCATTCCATTCCATTCCATTCCATTCCTTTCCTTTCCTTTCCTTTCCTTTCCTTTCCTTTCCTTTCCATTCCATTCCATTCCATTCCATTCCATTCCATTCCATTCCTTTCCTTTCCTTTCCTTTCCTTTCCTTTCCTTTCCTTTCCTTTCCTTTCCTTTCCATTCCATTCCTTTCCATTCCATTCCATTCCATTCCTTTCCATTCCATTCCATTCTATTAAAAGTGACAGAGCACAGTGAAAAAAAATGGAACTAACATTAACTATACCAGACTAATGACAGGGCAACCATTCTCAGAACTGACAATGTAGATACTGAATGGATGAATAGCTTCTGCCTTTTAGAATGAAACGAATAAGCAGTCACGTGATATTTCACAGTCTCCTACTTTTAGAGTGTCCATGAAAAAGACATCAAAATGCTGTGATGTGTCTCTACATATAAAGATCGGAACAGTGCAAGTCATGGAATTCTTGGTGATATCCTATGGAATTAAAAGGTGGACTTTAACAAAGTAGGATAGGAAGAGCATTGACACTTTTGAACTTTGGTGTTGGAAAAGACTAAAACCAAACAAACAAACTGATGGAGCACTGAGGAAATCAGGAAATTCATAAGAAGACTATGACCAACAACTAAGTGGATGGACAGTTATAGTGGCAATGAATACACTGTTGGGAAACTTCAAAGAATAGAATGGATTGCCATGGAGGAAATCTAATTATGTTGTTGCTTGGGGTCCAAAACAATTTTGTGATACATCATCCATCCATCCATCCATCCATCCATCCATCCATCCATCCATCCATCCATCCATCTCCAGTATGCCCTGCATGTGGTTGCCCTTGAAGATAATACAGAAATTCTAGCTAGAATGGAATGCATCTATAATGAGTACTTCAGTTCATCCATGTTTCGTTGGTCCAGCATTATGAAAGATGCAGTTACATAGGGAAGGAGAAGAGAGGAGAGGGAGAGAGATTGAAAGAAGGAGAGGAGAGGAGAGGGGAGGAAAATTTCTGGTGATAATGTCACTAAACACAACTTAAACACTTGATAATTTCTTTAAAAGAAATAACCTAAAAGAAGGCAAAGGAAAAAAAGCACATAATTCCCTTTGTATCTTGCATATACCTTTTAAAGAAGTGAATAGATTTGTCTGTGTGCTTAAGATGAAATCAGTCCTCATTGTTTAAAATGTAATTCAGGATACTGAAATTTAAAAAAAAAACATAATTGTTAGAATGAAAGTGAACAAATCAGCTAATAAATAAAGCCTATTTGCTTTCACAAGAGCACTTATCAAACAGAGCTCCAATTAGGTTTCCGTGATTCTTTCTTCTTGTTGTTGTTGTGCTTTCAAGTGAGTCTTGACTTTTGGTGACTATCTGGATTAGTCCCTGCAACTTTCTTGACAATGTTGTTTTGAAGTAGCTTGTGACTGTGAAAAAGAAACTGACCCAAGATCACCCAACAAATGGAGGAATAACTCATAGTCTCCAGTCTTCACATATATGTGAAAGTTGCCTTAACCACAATTCCTCAATTTTTTGAAAACTGTACCCTACCTACTGCTCCACTTTGGCTGGTTGCTCAAGAGGAGGATAAATCTGTATCAAGAACAGAAATTATACCTCTCAATGTTTTTCTTAACATTGACTTCCTCTTCTTTCTCTGAGTGCTTAAAAAGGTAAAGTTAAAGGTTCCCCTCACACATATGTGCTAGTCGTTCCCGACTCTAGGGGGCAGTGATCATCGCCATTTCAAAGCTGAAGAGCTAGCGCTGTCCAAAGATGTCTCCGTGGTCATGTGGCCGGCATGACTCAACACCAAAGGCGCACAGAACGCTGTTCCCTTCCCACCAAAGGTGGTCCCTATTTTTCTACTTGCATTTTTTACGTGCTTTCGAACTGCTAGGTTGGCAGAAGCTGGGACAAGTGATGGGAGCTCACCCCATTACGCGGCATTAGGGATTCGAACCGCTGAACTGCCGACCTTTTGCTCAACAAGCTCAGCATCTTAGCCAATGAGACACCACGTTTCCTCTGGGTGCTTATGATATTATAACATAAGTATTAATCTCACTTTTCTTTTCAAATTTGGAAAGAATGTGTGGGCCAGCTCTCCTCTGAAATCCCATCTGCCTTTGCTGCCCAATCTATTTTGATTGGTTTTCTTTTCAGAAAGAGCTTGGGGAAGACTTTTTTTCCATCTCTTCCTTCAATTTCTCCCAAAAAAGTGTAGGATTTCTTCAAATCAACACGTCGGAGAAAATCATAGCATCTTACAAACTCCTCCCAACCCTTCTTTCAACCTATCCATAACTAAAGCGGACTTCTTTTCATTTTTTTTTTAATTTGATTTATATGCCGCCCTTCTCCGGAGACTCAGGGCGGTTTACAATGTGTTAAGCAATAGCCTTCATACTTTTGTATATTTATACAAAGTCAGCTTATTGTCCCCACAATCTGGGTCCTCATTTCACCTACCTTAGAAAGGATGGAAGGCTGAGTCAACCTTGAGCCTTGGAGAGATTCGAACCTGAAGTAATTGCAGGCAGCTGCAATACAGTAGCGGGCAAAATTGTGGAAACCTTTTGAGAAAAGTTTATTTTTGAGATTTGATGGCTATTAACACCACTTTTTTTGGAGTTTCAAGATAATCCTATTCCACTGCTGGAATGGCCTGGGAATAGCCCAGACCTTAACTCAATTGAAAATCTATGGAGTCGACTAAAGAAACTGGTTAGTCAGAAGCGACCCAGCAATAAAACCCAGTTAATAGAAGCCATCATTCAATCTTGGTTTCACATGATAACAGCTGCAGAACTAAAAGACTTGGTTCACTCCATGGGAAGACGTTGTAAGGCTGTAATTCATACTAAAGGTTACCCAACGAAATATTAACATGGTGATAATTTTTGTAGTTCTCATTTTTTCTATGGTGATATTTTTTGTATATCTCATTTCACTTTTCTTCTTTATACTGTAACTTCTATTCTAACAGCAAATCCTTCCTAAAAGTTATTGCATTACATTCTTGATTAAATTATCTTTCCATTGATATATAATTTTATGGTACTACTTCAAAAAAAAAAAAAAGAAAGAAAGAAAGAAAGTGGTGTTATTAGCTAGTTTTAGAAAATACACTTTTCCCAAAAGGTTTCCATAAGTTTGGCCACTACTGTAGTTTCCAAGAGACAACAAGTTTACCTGGTGAAGACAGCTAGTAGGTCCAAGGAGGATCAGCAGATCTCTTTGAAGACCAAAGAATGCCCAGAAAATGCAATTTCTTTGATGAATCTGGTTTCACCCTTTGATGGCCTGTGATAGAGATGCTTTGAGAAAACAGAATATATACAGCCAAGTGGAAAGATAAGGAGGAACTTGTTTAATCTCTGCAAACTCAGCGCGATAAAGATTTTCTGTAATATGCAAATAATATGAATGATATTTGATGATATCTTGGCAGGGGAAACAATCTAAAAATTTGAGTGAGAACATACCAGTGCCTTCTCTGTCTACAAATTGTATAGCATAGGTGTCAAACTCGATCGCAACATGATATATCGTGACATTTTTGCCTTTGCGGATCCAGGGTGGGCGTGATCTGCTTGTGACGCATCCGGCCTACGGGCCGCCAGTTTAACAGGCCTTTTGTATAGGAATAATGGGAGAATAAGTCAAATTGTAGAGTGCATTGAAGTACGGGTAGTCCTTGACATATGACCACAATTGAGCCCAACTTTCTGTTGTTACGTGAATCAGTTGTTCAGTGAATTTTGCCCCATTTTACAACCTTCCTTGCCACAATTTGTCCAGTGAATTACTACAGTTGTTAAGTTAGTAACACGGTTGTTAAGTGAACCTGGTTCCCCCATTGGCTTGTCAGAAACCATGT